TTTTTTACTTTTACCCATTGGCTGGAGCGCTACAATGTAAGGTCGAAGGCATTTGAGTCTATTTAAGGGAAGAGAAGAGAAGAGTTATGAGGGAATTGAACAAAGGCTTTGTACTAATACTAATACTAATACTAATACTAATACTAATACTAATACTAATACTAATACTAATACTAATACTAATACTAATACTAATACTAATACTAATACTAATACTAATACTAATACTAATACTAATACTAATACTAATACTAATACTAATACTAATACTAATACTAATACTAATACTAATACTAATACTAATACTAATACTAATACTAATACTAATACTAATACTAATACTAATACTAATACTAATACTAATACTAATACTAATACTAATACTAATACTAATACTAATACTAATACTAATACTAATACTAATACTAATACTAATACTAATACTAATACTAATACTAATACTAATACTAATACTAATACTAATACTAATACTAATACTAATACTAATACTAATACTAATACTAATACTAATACTAATACTAATACTAATACTAATACTAATACTAATACTAATACTAATACTAATACTAATACTAATACTAATACTAATACTAATACTAATACTAATACTAATACTAATACTAATACTAATACTAATACTAATACTAATACTAATACTAATACTAATACTAATACTAATACTAATACTAATACTAATACTAATACTAATACTAATACTAATACTAATACTAATACTAATACTAATACTAATACTAATACTAATACTAATACTAATACTAATACTAATACTAATACTAATACTAATACTAATACTAATACTAATACTAATACTAATACTAATACTAATACTAATACTAATACTAATACTAATACTAATACTAATACTAATACTAATACTAATACTAATACTAATACTAATACTAATACTAATACTAATACTAATACTAATACTAATACTAATACTAATACTAATACTAATACTAATACTAATACTAATACTAATACTAATACTAATACTAATACTAATACTAATACTAATACTAATACTAATACTAATACTAATACTAATACTAATACTAATACTAATACTAATACTAATACTAATACTAATACTAATACTAATACTAATACTAATACTAATACTAATACTAATACTAATACTAATACTAATACTAATACTAATACTAATACTAATACTAATACTAATACTAATACTAATACTAATACTAATACTAATACTAATACTAATACTAATACTAATACTAATACTAATACTAATACTAATACTAATACTAATACTAATACTAATACTAATACTAATACTAATACTAATACTAGCTCTCGTTTATGTAGTGCATTTCGCTGTTGCTATTGCCATCACCTTCGAACATTGTCTAAGATGTTCTTACGTCTCACGTCTTTGCATTTTTTCCTTATTAATTTTGGTGCAATTTTTCGCCCCCTTTAGTGGGTTTTCTTTGGCGCTTGCCCCTTGGCCCCAGCCGACTGGCGTCTTTGATATGGCTGCTGTTGTTGTTGCTGTTATTATTGTTGTTGTTTATGACTGTTGCTGCCTGCAGCTTATCGTAATTCATTTGGCGTTTTTCCTTTCGTTTCGCTTTATTATTTTGCATATCTGAACGGTCTGCATTAATTTCTATATTGAATCCTTTTATAGACCGTAAGAAGTTGGCCTTGCCGTCATCTGCTAGTCAAAGCTTTGGTTACGTAAGTTTATATACACCAATTTTGTTTTTATTTTGTCTGTCTGACTGGGCGGGGGGCGTGTGTGTGTGTGTGTGTGTGTGTGTGGCTGCAACTTGAAGTTGGCTGCATTGCGTGCCAGCGTTTCTTTAAGTGTTTCCCCACAAAACAAAAAAAGTGGAGAAAAAAAAACAACAACAAAAATTGTCAGTTAAGCGACCCACGAATTACTCGCACAATACAAAAGTATAAAAAAACTTGAGTCGGTTCCCAGTGAAAAGTAATTATATGCCACACATATTGAATTATTCCCTTCTCTCCTAACCTCTCCCATACAGATGCACATGCTTATATATATTGAACAGATTACAGATCTGTGCTCCGGAAGTTGACATTAAACAGACTCAAAAGCTAAGAGGAAAACCCAAACGAAAGAACAACAATGTGGGGAAAAAGTAGTTAAATACATGAACAGTAAAAAAGAAACAAGCAAATAAATAAATAACATTAAATAATTTGAATAACATAGAAAAGACTCCAAGAATGACTAGGAAACTGAGAGAGAGAGAGAGAGAGAGGGAACAGATGAAACCGAATATGAAATGCTCTTTTGAAGATCAGAGAATATATATGATATGGTATGTATAGAAATTATAAGAGCGATATGCAGTTTATTGATAAGCCTATATGAATATATGGATGGGATATGTACAAGTAAATGTAAGGTATAAATAAGGTATGGTAAGTAAGGTATATTTGAAACTTAGGGGGGGCTAGGTATATATATATTTAGTAAAATTTGTATGAAGAGTGTTATACAGATAACTAATGTATACAATAAAATAATGTATAATGTATAGTAAATTGGGATTCAAGATTCTCTCATATATAATTTTCAGTCTAATATGTACCGTTTTTTTACGATGTCGATAGTACATCATCAGTACATCAGCACGAATCAGCTAACTTCAACATATGTATGTGTATCTGGCCTTCAGTATAAAGATAATTCGATTTAAGAATTGAACTCTTGAACTAATCCCAAGCAGAGTATCAGAAATGGAGAAGACATTCACTAAAGCAATCGACTCTATGGCATGTCTAGTAGGAGTATGCCATATCATATCGGGGCTGAGCTGACGCTTATTTTTTAATTGTGGCAGAAGTGGAGTAATGATGTGCTACAGTGGATACCCGGCAGTTGATACCGACATCGGCTTTGGGCTGAGGCCTCAACCTGGGCACTCGGAAGTGGGCATTTTTACTTAGTATTTTATACTATTATTGTTATTATTTTAGTGCTGTCGCTGCTGAGCAAACAGAAAGTTGCGCGTTTGCCCAGACGAGGCGCAGAGCGACAGAGGGAACGGCCTGGGGTGGGGAGGGGGCTACGACTAAGGTAGCTGGGAGCCACGTCTCTACGCAACCACATCCGGCATTTGTGTGAGTGCAAGATTTACGCTCCCACACACGGAAAAATGCTTTTGGAAAATAAAATTTACTTAACCAGCGACTCCGACTCTGACCGAGGCTGCGAGAGCGCGAGAAAGTTCACTGGGTCAACTTGGTAGCTTGGTAGCGATTGTGGGCCCGGCTCGAGTTTTGGCTTTAGCTTTGGCTTTGGCTTTGGCTTTGGCTTAGACTGCAACTTGGCCCGTCCTGTGCTTGCCTTGATGTTCAGCTGTCAAAAGCCGCAAGGGTTCCAACTCGAGCAGCTAAAAGTATAACAAAACTTGCCACATTCACTTGCCACTTACCGCTGCGTAGGTTGCACTCCACTGGATTCATAATACCGTTCGCCACATAGGCGTTGATGGGGTCTTCAATTGCTGCGATACAGCTCGAAAGTCTTAGCTTCCATTACCTGAATACCTTCATGTTTACTCTGTGCTGGCTGCAAGTCCTCCGCTCTGCTCAGATTTCATACATAACAGTTTCATATTTACTATCAAAGAAAGCATATGATATATTATACGATTTACTCTTAGCTGTCCTCTCTTTGAATTGAATCTATACTAATTTCCACTTGCCCTGGGACACGTCGTTTGTCTGCCTCAAACATTTTTTCTGGTTTCTTTTCCTTTTTTTTTTTTTTTTTTTTTTAAAATATTTGCATGTCGTCGAACTTGACATATGCCTGTCAAGTCCTGGAAATTACATTTTTCGTTTTTTTTTTTTTTTTTTTGCTTGGCTCTTAGTTGAATTAGTCGCTCCTAATAATAAGAAAACTTTTTTTTTTGTATGCCTCGCTTGCATAACATTTTCTATATCAGTTTTTTTTTTTTTTTTTTTTTTTTTTTTTTTGGTTTATTTCGATTTTTGTATATTTTTTTTGTGTGTTGGCACCTTGGCAAAAGAGAGTTCGAGGGTCACGCTGGCTGCCCACCGGAACAGGGTGCATTGAGCTGGGCGCCGAGGGTTGAGAGGGGAGCAACTGTGACTTGGTCTTAAGTCCATCAATCATCAGTCACATTGCGAGCTGCGCTGCCAGCGTCGCGCACTCAACGTAACATTCAAATCAATCAAAATGACGACGAGGCAACGGCGACGACTTTTGCCTGTTGAAACGAATTGGCAGCCCAGCCAACCAACCAACCAACCAACCAACCAGCCAGCCAGCCAGCCAATGAGACTGCCCATTCCTATTTATGCAAAGCAAAAAAAAAAAGAAATAAAACAAAGACGTATAAATAATTTTTCATCGAATATGTGAAAATAGCGAAAATGTGCTGCAGCCTGATGAAGTTGTTCAGGCTCAAACTCGCTTCGATTCCCCTCCGCCTCCGCCTTTGGCTCTGCCTCTGCCTATGGCTCAGCACCCCCCCTCCAGTTGCTGTGTGATGAATAATGTGCAGGATCGTTGCGGCATGGGGGGCTGTTGGAATAATGTTCATATGGCGTGCGTTGCCAACAGGCACGACAAACTCCGCACTTTGGCCCATATGGCTGAAAGTCTATATAATGATCGATAATATACTATTTTGTGAACACTGTTAAATTGGATCAAAGGGAGGGAGAATAAATTAATTATATAAAAAACGAGCTTAGCCTTGGGAAAAGAAAACATTCATTTGGGTTTCCAAATTTTGTTTCAGTTGCTATCGATAAAATGCAAAATTGCTATCGATTGTTCAGAGATTATCAACAGCTGTCAAATTCACTCAGTCACAAACATTTTTCCTGCTCTATTCTTTTCATTTGGTTTTCCCCAAGTAGGCCATGGAAATCGAAAAGTTTAGCTTCTGGCTCCTGGCTGGAAATATTTTCAGTTTCGTTCCTACATTTAGGTAATAAGCATTTCATAATTTTTCAACAAATCTCTACGTATTTTTTTTTTTTTCTTTTATTGTGTTTTTGTGTTTTTCGTGTTTTCTCGAAATTTGATGTAATTTTATTCTGCCTTTTTGGAGAGCAAGTGCAAAATTTTCTAGTTAAAGTTTCGCGATGTTTACGCTAGTTAAGTTATCACAGCCCTGGATGCAGTCAATGCGCAGCGCCTATATGCTGTCGCAACGGTTCACCATACGCCAGTACAATAATGAGCACAATAGCAACGACGATGACGAAGGAGAGAGACCCACAAAGATCTCGGCGGCCGCTCAGCTCGCCCAGGCCGTGGAGAGCGACACCAAGCTGGAGTCACCGGAGCCAGTACAGCGCATGGTCGAGCTGGAGAATGTGCGCTCCCGGATCAATGAGCTGGATCAGCGCAAGCTGCGGCATCAGGAATACGCCCAGATGCTGAAACAGCTGATCATCAAGCCGCCCAACTATGCCCAGGAGATAAGGCTGCCATTCAAGCAGCCCATACCAGCCAACAACATGCGTCAATCGCTTCGCAACTGCTCCAGCACCGAGGAGGTGCTCCAACTGACCAACGACCCAGAGCAGCTGGCCAATGAGCTAGTGCGTCTGTCCTGGGAGCTAAACACCGAGAAGCGCAAAAACGATGTCGTACTGGAGAGCTATCTGGAGCTGAAGCAGGAAATGCTCAATGGCAAGTCCAAGGCCAATGGCGATGCTTAGCCGACAGTTCCATACAGAAGAAGAGCTGACGATAGTGATAGCAATCGCATCAACTTCTCTAGTCAAAATCTTTAGATATATTTTAGTCAACAATCAAATCCTGGCCTGCTTCCTGATTTTAATTAGTTTTCATTTGTTACTCTACAAATGGTTTATTTTCACATTTACAAAGGTTTTCATGAACAAGTTAATTAATATATATACAATACATAGCTAGAAGGATACTAAATATATGAAGGATACTCAAAATATGAAGGATACTTAAATTAAATGACGTAAATTATATATTATCTGTTTATTTATTACTATTGTGTACAAGTTCATTGATTCGGATTATCACCCGGAATTGCATTTGCAGTTTGAGCTTTTGGGGCATTTCCGGATCTGTTGCAATTATCATTTTTTCAGCCTTATCGAACACAGTCCACAGTTGGACAGGATGTCATCAATAAGACATGTGATCAGCACTTAGCACTAAGCTCATCATCGTCATCGTCACGACGATCATTATCAGCATCATTATCATGAGAGAGCGTCGTATATGCGATTTCGTTTTTTTTTTTTCTGTTTTTCTTTTATTTGTGTAAGCTATAAAATGTAGTTTTATTGAAGAAAAACGAAACAGATTCTAAAGAATTTTTCGCGAGTTGTTTCGGTGTCGGCGACAACGACGACATAAATTTAAAACCACCTACACATAAATTTTTCTAGATATACGACAAAAAAAAAAAAAAAAAAAAAAAATGAAAAGAGGAACAGCACACAAAAAATGAACTGCAATAATCACAACAACAACAACAACAACAAGCAGCAAGTGCAACTGTCAACTATTAAATGACATTTAACATGCCTACGAGGAGGCAGCACGATCTGAAGGAGCTGCCGCACGGCTGCAGGGGCAGGGAGCAGGGAGCAATGTGCAGCGCTGTGTCGTCGAGCTATGGCTGCATTAGTTTCTTAAAATATCATTTCAAATTTCAAATCAAGTCATCAGCAGTGCGCCAGCCAGCCAGCCAGTCAGCCAGCCACAGATCCAGCCCAAGACAGCGGATAGCGAGACCAAGAGATACGGGGCGACAGAGACCAGGGCAGCATTCACTCTTCGTATGGCTGACCGGGGGCTGATGACAACAGCAGCAGTAGCAGATTTTTATTTATTTATCAGTCGTCGTTGTTGTTGTTGTTGTTGTTGTCGCAGAGATTGCATGCACAAGTACACACATATATGGATATTTTCAATTATAATTTATATGCGATCATATACGTATTTTTAGACAAATGAAATCTGCGCGCCCCAACTGCAGCAGTCAGTTAGTCAGTTGCCAAGTGTCAGATGATAACGAAACTAATTCGAAATGAATCTAAGTAAAATCTTGAAGCTACAGAAAGTTAAACTTGGTCTTGGAGCAGAGCTTTCAGGAGCTTCTAGTCTGAGGCTAGAGTCCCTCAAAATGTTGCTTAACTTCTTTATTCTTTTTTTTTTTTTTTTTTTTGATTTCTTATGTGTCCTTAACAGATTTGGAGAGTTTGAAGCTCTTCATATTCAGACGTAGTTGCCACACTGTTTTCTTCTTTCATATTGTGCGATCTGGCAGCGCCTGCGCATGCAAATGACTTGGCAAATTTCGCAGCGTTTTGCTGGCAGCGCTTGAACTCGATCTTTGGCTTTTGGCTTTCAGCTGCGGTGCTCTTTAGAAAGTTTTTGTTTTGTTTTTGGCAAATCATAAACGCGACTATCAAAAATGGCGCCAGCCACTACAAACGGCGCAACAACACGAGCAGCGCCTTGCCACCGCATCATGGTCATGGATCACAGCACAGCACAGCTCAGTTCAGTTCGGTTCGGTTCGGTTCGGTTTGGTTTTACTTGGGCTGGAACTGAGTTTGGCTTAAAATTTAAATATGCCAAACGACGGCGTCGTACAGTTGCCTCGAAGTTGGATAAGCTGACTCAGCCAGTCAGTCAGCCAGTCAGCCAGCCAGTCAGGCAGTCAGTCAGTCAGTCAGCCAAGCGCGTAGGGCTCTGCTAACCACACCCGCCCCCCACACCTTTGGCTCCTCACTAAATAGTGCGTCCCGGGCACGCATTAAGTGCGCACGAGTCTTGGGTTTTTGGGTCTTATCTATCTAGACTTGCCTCGAATGCCGCATTCCACCTGCTTCAGACTGTACGCCATTTTGGAATTTCGTTTTCTGGACGAATGCGCCTAATTTAAATTAACAAAAATTCATATACATATCTCTATATCTATATATATATATATATGTATATATGAATGTTTGTAAATAAACATAAAAATTTGGAATTTGAAATTTGAAATGTTATGCTCATTGTTAGATTTAGGTGTACGCGAGTTATTTTAGCTGGCTTTTTTTTTTTTTTTTTTTTTTTTTTGGGGTTTTTGTATTTGGCTAATTAGCGTGGTTCATGGGAAACACATGGGGAAATGGCTCTTGGCCGGGCCGCGTTTCCACCCGCAGCCCATAACCCAAATTTCTTTTGAAGCATTTATAATGCCAAGTTGCTTATTCATATTAGGTTTTTTATACGCTTTTATTTTATTTTTTTTATAATTTTTTATTTTTTTTGTTTTTTGTTTTTTGATTATTACTATTCTCTCTTTTTTTTTTTTTTTTTGCATAAATTAAACCTTTTTTGTACATCAGCAGACATGATTTTGAAATAAGATCCGCTTAGATAGTTAGATAAATGTAATAAAAAAATGATTGTTTTAGTTAGATATATTTATTTATATTAAGCTTTAGTTATTATTTGCTTTCAAATAATGACATTAAAAATTAATTTTAGATACTTATTTATATATATGCATATAATAATATGCACGGTTAACAATTTTCACATTTATTAAAGTGATATACTATATACATAAATGCATCTAACATTAATTTTTTAATTTGTAATATTTTTACAATATTTGATTATAAATAGTTTAATAAAACTATTAAAAAAAATTATTTCAAAAATTAAAATAAAAACAATAAAATTGTATATTATCATTTTTATTTTCTCAATTATTTATTATTAATTGTTTTCTTAATATTTAATATTTTTAATTTAACAGAATTTAATAAAATACTTTGAATACGATAAAAATGTATTTTTAACATTTTTTGTATTGTTTATTATTTATTATTTTCTTTTCTTTTACTAATTTTATTTTTTTAATTTAAATATTTTTTAAAAGAAATAAAAATAAAAATACTAATAATAATTCAATATAAATTTGAATATTTTAAGATACAATACAATTTCAACGAAAGTATCTTATATAAAACTACTCAGAAATATATTTGATTAGTTTTTAAATAATTTATATAATACTTGGAAAATTTTCACCAAACGCCCCTCTGGCTTATCCGCTACAATATGCCCGGAACAAAAGCGCGTAGCGCATAGCCAAAAAGTTATTAAAGCGTAAATTCGAGACCATTATGATTATGTAGATCTCGCAGTACCCTGTGCGTATATTGTTTTAAGCTCTAGTGTGAGGTTCACACTATAACAAAAAAAAAAAAATTAGTAATGTCTGCTTGTTGCTGCTGCTGCTGTTGTTGTTGTTGTTGTTTATAGTGTTGCTCGCATTTAGTTTATTGTTGCTATTTCACCAGCCGGCTGACTGGCTGGCTGGCTGAGTTCAATGACTAATTTATGAAAGTTAGCCTGACTTGGCTTTTATTGGGCATGAGCCGGAAATACCAAGTGTGCGCAAACCCCACACACCACCATCTACCACCCCCCCATCCCGCTGCTCGCACTGCCTGAACGCTCAGGTAAATAGTCAACATCCAATTGCCGAGCTAGTATCTCTCGAAATTTGTAACAAGAAGTTGCAACTGCTCAAACATAAAATGCGGCCCGAAAAGGCAGCCGACAAGGACCTTTCCGGGAAGGGCGGACACGCTGGCTTATCTGCGGTCGCGGTTGCCTCAACCATTTTCATGTTGACATGTGAATTTTCGCACGCACTTGTTGCACGTTGCGCGTTACCTGATCCATTTCTATTCTATTTTTGCCGCTGTTTTTTTTTTGTTTTTTTTTTCTCTCCAATTTTTTCTTTACTTTGCGGCTAACCAGGACGCTAATCGGCCTCAGTGCTGGGCGTGTGCCGACAAAAGCCGTGTTCAGGATATCCTGTGCTTCTTCAGCGTGTGTGATACTTGCATGTTGCCGCTGCCCGTGCCTCTGCCCCCACCCCTTCCAGCCTCTAGTTCTTCCTCATGCTCCCACTCCTGTTGCTCCACTTCCAACTCCACCTCCTGTGTGGCAATTTAACGCCCCTAATTGAGCTATAATGCGCTGTCCGACAGATGATTACAATACACACTCACTCACACACACACACATGCACTCAATGCACAGCCATGCACATACATACATATACATATATTGAGTATATCAGCAACATCTATTTGCTTTGGCATTTGCCGACTCGCCGACTAAATCAATTTTTATGTCGCACTTTGCAGTTAATGTGGAGCGCCAACACCGGCCACATGCCCCATTTGGTGGCAACACCAACTGGGCCCCAGCCAGCGTCGTACATTAAATATGCATCAAAAATTGATGATGATGCATTTTTAACGATTCGACAAAGATTTTTATGTCGTGCATTTGACAAGATTCGACAGAGCCAACTGACGGATTGCCATGCTGATCCATGATCTGCCATGCATCATGTTGCACGATCCATTCCTCCTTCCATATAATAGTGGTTGTTGTTGCTGTTGTTGTTGCTGTCGATTGGATTTTGATGACCTTTTTGATAAATACCCTTTTTTCGTCTCGATTGTTAACGGCTTTTGTTGGATGTGATTTGTTTTCAATAAGAACGCCTACAACAGCACAGAGCTACACACATACACTTACAGAGAGGTGGGACAGTAGTACATGTCAACGCCGTTGGATGGCGCTGCTGAAGCAGTTAGCCGCATCGCTTTGGCTCACACGCTGCGCGTCGGCCTGGACAGGTCGTAATTATTTTTGTGGCCAAATTGAATTGAATTAAATTGTGAATGTGAAACAGCACTAGAAGCAGAAGTACTAGCCGAAGAAGAAGCAGAAGCAGCAGCGGCAGCAATAGTCGCTGTAGAAGTAGATGAAGCCAAAGAAGCCAGCGCACAAATGAACAACGAACTTTTTGGCCACAGTTGAGCGATTCTTGGGTGTCGTTGTCGTAGTTGTTGCCGTTGTTGTTGTTGCTGTTGCTGTTGCTGTTGTTGTTGTTACTGTTTTGTGCTCATCGTCACTAGCCAGTGACGCCGCG